TTGATGTATTTAGTTGTTTCAGTATTTAAATTAAATAATATTCATTATTAGTTAAATTAATTAAACTTTCGGCTGTAGTTAATCATTTTGTAATTCATGTTCGTCTTGTTATTTTCACAATTATTTTCAACAACTACAAGTCCTATAATTTATTGTTATTTTTATAGGACAAACTTTCATTGAACCGGTTCTCGTAGAATTTTAACGCATTCGAAGTAAAACTTAGATGTGCAATTTAAAAAACTTGTTTCATTCTGATTGTTTATATCTCATTGCATATACCAAGTGGTACATTTAGAAAGTAAATTTCGGCAAAGGCGCTAACACGACCAATGACATCGAAATCGACGCTTGTTTTCTGAACTCTTCCACCTAGTGAAAGTATCTTCGTGGCTTTATGAATTTGCAAGATTATTTGGGTTATGAAAAGTTACAATCATCTTTACTGAATATGTGCAACTGACTAACTAGGTCCTTCGTCTCGAATGGCGTTTGAAAGGAGAACAACAATTACAACAAATATAAACATTGCATACGCATGCCGTTCAGTTAATGCTAATAATATTCAATAATTTGTCTGGGATTGGTGTTGTAATATTTACAATGAGAATTGTTTCAATTTTATTTATGTGTTTGGCTGTTTACCAAAAGATGTACAACATTTAAATGCGTCAAAGTATATTCTCAACACAACATTATAGATTTCCAATTAATATAATTTATTTTTCATTTAGTTTTAATAAAATAAAGCAACTTATAATTATTTCTGTGTCTATAACGTCACATCGGTGTATTTTCTTTACTGCAATATTTTTGAATTTAATATCGCATGCATGTAGCTGTGTCGTGAAAGAATTGATTCAACTTTGCGATTACGAAATAATTTTCTTTTGTTCGAAAATAAATGTGTTATGACGGACAAAACATTTAATGAATATGCATTTACTAGTTTAAAAAAAAGAACTTTGGCCTAGGCCAAAAACTTACAACTTAATATGTTCAAAGAAGACCAGTCTACCGATAAATTTTCTAGCGTTCTGGTTAATAAACTTACAAAACCGCAAGTTCAAGTTCACGCATAATATCTATCTTTCATATGAATTATTTTACACAGCATGTAAGTGTGTTGAAATTCCTCAGAATAAAGAAATAGAAATTGCAGTCCTAACAATTTGTCATTTATTTCATTTCATGCTTTGCAGTGCAATGTTAATGAAGAAATTCCTTTATATTAAAGAGTAATTGATATTAAACTGTTGGAGAGTAATAAAGATGCTCTCTTAATGTTAATGTTATCCGAAATCCTGAAATTGACATGCTCGGAATTGTTCATCTAATTTAGCATATTAGCGCAGTAATTTTGCTTTTGATGTCTTACATTATTGAATTTGGATGCAATTTTGAATCTTAATCGAATTAGAATGGGTTATAACTATTCAATTTACATTAATTGGAATCTATGGTAAAATTCAGTACGTACATTGATTTTATTTTTTTGCGAAACTTCTGCAATGTGTAGGTACCTTGAATGTATCTAGTTATAATCGCAGTTAAAAACATTATATTGTAAAATTAATATTTTACTGTTTCAGTTGTATTTAGTGATAAACCAAAAATAGATTAATAATGTTAGTTTTGATGTCTAACAATAACACAAGATGTGTCTAAAATTTTTCATTTTCGCGTGTCTGTAAGGGAATGTGCTTATATTACGTGACCGGTCAGGGGAGGGAGGGGGTCTCCAAAATTACCCCACTTGGTCATAGGGGCGAGGGGGGTTAAGTTTTCGTCACGTAATCAATATCCTCTAGGGAAATTTCGCGCTTTTTCGACTTATATTCAAAAAATTTATAAAACCATATTTATGAATGACTACGTAAAAACTGAAAGGTGAAGGGGGGTAAAAATTGTAAAAAATTGGTCACGTAGTATGGGTACGTTGTCTAAGAAATTTGAGTGTATCTAAGAAATCGCAGTTATAAAAAATATATTGTAAAATTAATATTTTACTGTTTCAGTTGTATTTAGTGATAAACCAAAAACAGATTACACAAGATTTGTGTAAGGGAATGTTCTTATATTACGTGACCTGTCAGGGGTGGGAGAGGGTCTCCAAAATTACCACATTTGATTACAGGAGCAGGGGGGGTTTCGTCACGTAATCAATATCCTCTAGGGAAATTTCACGCTTTTTCGAGTTATATTCAAGACTTTCTGTATGCAAAAAAAATTTTAAAAACATATTTATGAATCACTACGTAAAAACTGGAAGGGAAAGGGGGGTTAGAAAATTGTAGAAAATGGGTCACGTACTATGGGTACGTTCCCTAATATGATGTCATGATTTTAATTGATTAATTAATTAATTGATTGTGTTGCATGCAATAATTTATCATTTTAAGATAATTCTAATTCTTTTTGATGCTTTTCTATTTTATCAAAAAGTATCTAACGAAAATATATAGGTATGTATACATTTGTGCCAGTTAAAATTGCCTGTCATACGACATTTACTATAGGTATATTGCCTTTCTATCAAAATTGAAACCGCTCATTTGGAAAATTAGCATTATATATGCTGGTTTTACTCAGGGAAAGCTAAACGCATGTCGTACAGAACGATAAATATAAACAGGGGACATCCTTTGGTCTACTTACCTACCGTGATTATACATTAAAGCAGGTTCATCAATTTCCAATATGTTTCACTTTTCATAATTCCATAACATGCACATCTATATAAAAATGTACATACGTGCATGCCTATTGCATTTGCTTTGTAATAGAAGGTATTCAAGTAGGCGCACTTTATTTAATGAATATTGTGTTCTCAGCTTCAATAACATAAATTAAAAAAAAACGTTTGTACAGCGTGTACAAGCGGCTGCGTTATCACACACACTAGCGATCTATTTTTCGAGAACAATATTTAATTAGAACAATCGATAAATTGTCTACTGTTGTTATTGTTATTGTTATCTATATGATATACGTCCTTAAACTATTTATTCTAACTTTTTATTATTTTTATTAATATACCTTGATCGATACATCAAACTTTGAACCCCTTTTTCATTTCTTTGGGGGTTGAAATTTAAAAAATCCTTTCTTAGTGATCGCCTACATTGTCTAAAGAACATTTTTGCAAAGTTTGAAGTTAATAGGTAATCAGTCAGTTTATCTCTTTATTAAATTGTATTATCCAGTCAGGATGTCGACATCCATTGATAAGGACACTTGTAGGAAAATAAAAACAGTATTTATTTACATTTTGTAATTGTGTTTTAAATGTCTAAACATGAAAAATTTGCGAGACTGTAGCATCGTCTTGTTACTTCTTTAAAACTAATTAAGATAATTGATAATACAATATGCAACGCCCAGTAAGGCATTTCCAACAGTTCCATAATACCATATAATTGAATTATCCAAAATTAAGTACATATACAAAGTACAAGCGCATTTTATACCTTTCATATAAACCGTTTCTCTTCTCCAGATGTTTCTATTTAACAAATTAGATTCGTTTTATTCTTCCATGATAAAAACTCAAAATTCTATTGTCTAACTGCATTAAGATATTAGGAAGGCAGCATGGAAAGACTGACTGGAAGATAAAGTTTGTAGGTATAATCCGTTTTACAGAAGAAATTAGTTTGTGCCTAAGTTTCCAAATGTAATTAATTATTTTGCGATTTTGGATACTTGTAAAGGGACATCTACGGAGAATACAAAACCCCATAAATTTACCACCTTCGGGAATTCGAATTCGACCCTTCGTAAGCAAGCAATATGGTCAGAAACGTCTACAGCAGTAACATAATTTAATTAATTCTCGTTATCTTCCTAATCTCAAATGTATATTAAAATTGCCTTTTGTTAAGAAAATTAATTATTGTTGTTCTACAGAATATAATATAGCCTTAAGAGGTCATACATTGTGTTTCCAGACACATCTATTGATTCTTTGAATCCTACTGCTATTATTAAAAGATTTTTAAAGTATTTCATATGATGTTAGCGTACATAACAATTAACTAATAAGTACGTTTCATCGTAGTTGCTACTGTTACCTTTCGTAACTTGGTGGTTAAAGGTTCCGGGTTCCATTCCCGACGAGGGTGTGACAGTAGCATCAATTTTTCTTCATTATTTGAGGTAATTTGTAGTGAAATTAATATTAAATAGTAATCACTATTTCAAATTTTCTTAAAGTATTCTAAATATTGTACTAATAACAAGTTCTTTTAAAACAATTAATTACCGATGTTTATTTACTAAAGATCTGCTTCATATAGAAACCAGTTTTAACTTTCACTTTACAAGAAAAATCGGTGACATATTGCACTATTACGTCAACCGAAGATGATGCATTAAGAAGCATCATGGAAGCTAGTTCTGGACGATTCATATTAAGCTGCAGCAAACACCTCATGTAATGCAAAAATAGTCCTAATACTGGCATAATAATCCACTTCAATATATTCTAAAATCATATGTAAAGAATTAAATAGGACAAATCGCGAGTATCTGGGTACCATCCTGAATCAGTTTTAACAAATAATCTGGGTCATTGGTGATAAAATTCCCGGACGACCAGTTGTCTAAAAAATTTGTAATTTCAAAAGCAGTTCCACAAAATATGCAGATGTACATTTCCAACTGCGCTGTTAGAGAAAATTCCTATGAAAACCTGAACGTCATCGATTTTACTAACTAACTCCATGACGACAAAAAGTTATCGCGGGATTGAAATTATCCAAGTTATTTTTTTACGAGACCTAGTTAGAGAGTTGATTCAATTTTAAATTCAATTATTTTTATGGATAGTGAACTACTCGATGAAATTGAGAAATCAACAAGAATAATGGTGACTATTAGAAACAACTATTTGGAAATTCTATTCAATACTGTTCTCGTTTATGGTATTACAACTCGCAACATTTGGTCTTATTGTCATTATCTTATTATCATGAATTAACGAAGAAATCTACCCTAAAGAAGCCTGATTTGACTGATTATACTGTTAATAACAAAAAAATATCAAATTAATTAAACAATACCTGCGTCAGTGTCAGTTAATTCAATCCTTGTCGAAGTTCACGTAAAAGTATGACCTCACCTTTGACCCATATTCTGCTATTATTTTTAAAATTCGAAAGTGGTTTTTAAATGCAGACAACTAATCATTTGCTTTTCCTTCCTGCGAATAACTCGTATTTATCATTACGTGCAATATTAATAAAATCAAGCAATATTAATTCAAATGTCTTTATAAAATATTGAGAAAGGTCCTTCGTTGTCGAAAGAAAAAATAAAAAGTAAAGTCAACGACTGATAGGCGTCGGTGGGTCAGCTAGGAAGATACCTATCTAGCATGTTTTTTAGAAAGTAAAATTGCAATAGATATTTCAAGGGAAAGTAACTCCGATTAAAATGATGATCAACGGAGAACGGGTAATTTAACTTCTCTTAAATTAATTACATGGAGCTGACCAACATTTAATTTATTACAAAACTGCCTTCCTGTTTAAAATATAAAATTAGGCGTGATGCTGAATTAGCCACATAGATATTTTGCTTTTAAAACAATAATCCATTCTGTCTTAGCTTTCATTTATTGATTTTATAATTAAAAATGTCAGACTTCTTAAAATGACTTTTCTATATTCGATAGAATATTAATAATAAGTTTGAAATAATGTTTCAATGATTGATCGATTGACAGTAAATATATTTTGTAAGTTTGATATTTTTTTCACCTTTTGTTCTGTTTCTTTTTCCTTTGCCTTAAATAACACTTTGCATTACATAACAAACAAAACAAGTCAAAGTTACTAAATATTCCATGCACATAACATGTTAAAGTAAAAAGTAAAAAGTTTGTTGTTTGAAAGAAAGTAGCTTTTTATGAAGCTTGACACCTGTTTTGACCTTGCTCCAATTGCCCACCTTCTTTTTTTACCGATGGTCCAACGAGCCGGAAACTACGACAATGTAAACAAAAATGAAAGTATGTAACAACGCGTTTCGTTTAGGTAAATACGAAAATTTCGGCAATAAAATAGATTTATATATGCAATGAGGAAGCAATTAAAAATTAAAATTTAGAAACGAAACATTGAATCAAAATTTACTACAGTGTTTTAGAATGTAAAATGAAGACTGGAAAAACTTTGGCGGTTGTTGTAGAACAAACAAAAATTTAGAATGTGTTTTGTTATTTTGTCATTATGTTAAAAAGATACAGGACTTTCATAAGAAAAATAGCAATTAAAAACTTCTAAAATTCACTGAACTTTTTTCTGTTGTACCCACTATACAGGCGTACATATAATTTTGAAATAAAACTTTTATTATCGTTATCTTTTGACACCTGCGAATACATAATTGTAAAAGGGTTGTCTGCTATAAAAGGCAGTTCGTAATTCAACCCTTTTATAAAATTTTTGTTATAATGAAAAAACCATTGAATTAAAATACTTCGAATCTACAAATTTAATTAATCAATTATTTACTTATAGTGAATGTTAGTTAAAAGTACTTGCTCAAGTTAATGAAAATTTATTTTGTTTCTCACAGTGTGTGTTTTTATGTTAAAGCAGTATTTTACAGCAGATTTGTCAAAATTTCAAATAAACCGCTGACTTATTCACATTTTTCCTCTTTTACTAGTCAGCGCTAGATTTTTCTGAAAGCTATTAAACTTTCTATCGAAATTCCAATTTCCTCGGAGTATTGACGGCGCAATACAAAACACACAAGTCTCTTGGAGAAGGTACCTTTATATGTACATATATTTATATATATATGTGTAAGTAAAATTGCAATCTGACTCAGTAGAACACGTTACAAACCTCATCTTCTCTTTAAGATCATCTTGGACAGTATAGGTAGTCTTTAAAGGAAAGCGTAATGAAAGCTAGTACAGATTCTGACCTGCTTTATGTCCCAAAGAAAATTAAAAACAAATATATAAAAAAATAGAATGAAATTTTATAGCTACACAGTACTATCTCCAACAAAAACAAGGTTTAGAATCTCAGTCACATTAAACAGTAGCTCTAATAACATTGAAAATTGTTTTGTAAATGTTTTTGTAATCTTGCTTAACAATTTACACTAAAAGAGTTATTTTATCAAATCCTTCAAAGGACTTGCTATTCTTAGGAAGTTTATAAAACTGCAAAGTACATGACGTCATCAATAAGTTGAATTTTCCGAATTTTAAGAAGATATTATGACGTTTCATTCTTATTGCTAGTTTTGGCCGAAAGATTTCTAGCCTCCTCCTTTTTTTCCGATCACTTTTTCGGTAGAATGTAATAATATCGCGTCAATTCAGTTGAGCTACTTAGACCCCAGATGGTCTACTAAAATTCAATTGCGTCCTCTTCCTATTTTTTAAAGATTTGGTTATGTCGTCCCTATTTTCTGTAGGTAGCATTGTCAAGCATCATCACCCTTGTTCTCTTCCAAAATACCGTAAGTCAGCAGCCTCCACTGAACGATTTTGATGTAGATCATTCAGCCACATTATCTAGTCAAGAATTAGATTACATTAATGAATACATAGAAGAGACAGGTAGGAAAAAGAGATTTGTGAGTCAAGCCGTGTCCAGTGCGGCACTTGGATCGGCAACCGCTGGATCCCGACATATTACAAATAGCATAGGAAAACTTATTGGAGGTGCTAGCAGAAGCATAAGCAGCTTTAGTGATCATTCTGGAAGCGGAGGTGATAGCGGAGGACATCATTATGGACCACCACCAGAAGTAAATCCTGAACTCATTGGAAAATGTAAATGGTAAAATGGTCGTTTGTTTTTAGCACCACGATTCTTCTGGTAAATTAAAGGAGGCGTGGGAAATAAAGAAGATCATCTTGAGCAGCCTCCTCCAGGCAGCCAAAGCAGTCAACGGTGGTCTTCTGGCTATCGGGGGAAAATTAATTAAAGGAAGTGGGTATTTGATAGAAGCCAAAGGTAGATTTTTAGCGTCCAAAGGTGACGTCGTTTCGGATTTGGGGAAAAAAATCGTTTACGCTGCCAAAACTCAACCGTCATCATGGTCTTCTTCTGATCACAGTATAGAAATTCCTGTCAGTCATCATACATCGTCTGGTAAATCAGTTTTCTAATTTTAAGTTTATCTCATTTGATAATCACGATTGTTAGGTCCAGGAGGTAATTATGGTCCTCCACCGTCACACTTCCCTTCTGCTCCTTCGTCAGGCTACGGTCCTCCTCCTCCTTCGTCTTATCATGCTGCAGAAGGTAATTGACAACTTCAACCAATAATCGATAAGTAACCTAACAACAAAATGAATCAAGATTGAAACTAAAGGGTTGTTCGGAAAGTCATTTCGTTTTTTTTTTTGAGGAAATGAAAGAGTTTTCGTATAATAAACAAATACATTATTAAATTATATATTGACCGTTCTGGTCCAACACCTTTTGCCATCTTTCTGGTAGTAGCATAATTCCACGCTCATAAAATTTTTGGTCTTTGCTGGCAAAAAACTGATCGAGGAGGTTTTTGACCTCCTCATTTGAGGTGAAGGTTTTACCGTCTAAAAAATTTTGGAGTGACCGGAACAAATAATAATCCGATGGTGCCAGGTCTGGAGAATATGGTGGGTGTAGCATTGTATCCCATTCAAGCTGTAAAAGCTTTTGGCGAGTGACCAAACTTGTGTGAGGTCTCGCGTTGTCTTGGTGAAACACTACACCTTTCCTGTTGATTAGTTCTGACCTTTTCTGTTGAAGTGCATCATTCAGTTTGTCCAGCTGATGACAGTAGACTTCCGAATTAATCGTTGTGTTATCCGGTAAAAGCTCAAAAAAAACGATTCCTTTAAAATCCCACCAAACAGACAGCATCACCTTTTTTTGGTGAATATCGGCTTTGGAAATGGTTTGAGCCGGTTCATCTTTTTTGCTCCATGACCTCTTGCGTTTGACGTTGTTGTATACAACCCATTTTTCGTCCCCAGTGATGATGCGCTTCAAAAACGGATCATTTTCGTGACGTTTGAGAAGCGAATCGCAGACGTCAATGCGGCGACACAGATTTCTCTCTGTGAGAACATGGGGAACCCATACATCGAGCTTCGAGGATAATCCCAGGCCTTTCAAGTGGTCATAAACTGTTGAATTTGATAAATTTAACCTCAATCCGATCTCACGTGTTGTTATTCGCCGGTTCACATCAACTAATGCCTTTATCGCGTCTTTATCAGCTTCAACCGGCCTTCCCGAACGTGGTGCATCTTCGACATCAAAATTGCCGGATCGAAATTTAGCGAACCAGTTCTGGCACTGGCGTACTGTCAACACACCTTCTCCATACACATCAGTCAATTTCTTTCTGGCTTGAACAGCATTTTTACCCTTTCTGTAGTAAAACAGTAAGATATGTCGAAAATGCTGCTTATCGCTCTCCATATTTAAAAGGGCACCAACCAAAAACTACTGCGTAGAATTAATTGGAATTTTTCACACACAAGCCTTGCTATATGAGCTCTCAAAGCATATAAAAATTATACGGCTTAAATGTGAAGTTGGGTGCAAAAGAATACAATTAAATCCTCTGTTGGGAAAAAACGAAATGACTTTCCGAACAATCCAATATAATCATTGACTTTGACTGTAACTTTATAACATTACAGAGTCTTACGAACATTTACCAGAAGGTATTGAGGCTGGTCTTTTAATACTGAAGAAGGTACAAAAGAACGCGAAAACTCCAACAGCAATAGATGCAGGAACATCCGGTATTCCTCCATTTAAATATTTACCTTTAGAAACAGATCCTTCGGCACCTATACCTAATTATCCACCACTGACAAATGACCCACTTCATTCTTCTGAAACTTTGAACAACGGCGATTCTCTCAATCTCAATCTTTCGCCTCCAACAACAATAACGAATGGTTTAAATGCCGGTCTTGGAGCATACGTATCACCACCTTCGTTATTAGAATATTACAAAAACGTCCAAGATATAGAGATAGGAACCCAAAAGGATTTGGGTGACTTCAACAACCCGTTCCAAGACCAAACTTATTCCACATCCGAAGACGTTCCTTCATTACACTCATCTTCAAGTTCCTCCAATGATTTTCTTGCCACGAATCCTTTTACCACTGACTTCAGCAGTGATTCTTCATCTTCAAATTTTCTAAGTACTTTTTCAGAATCGAATTCGATAGGTACGAATGATATTTCTGATATCAAAGATCACACGTTTCCTCCAAAATTTCCTCCTTCACTTTCGGACATGAAGCGTCCAAAATCGAAATTCCGCTTCTATGGTAGTGGTGGTGGCAAGAATAGGGGTAGAAACGTTAGAGTTGCACAAATAAGCATTAACTTGGCTGATAATGCTCCCCAAAACCATCCAAAATACCGAAATGTTTCAGTTCGCTTTAATCGGGGGAAGAGACCCATTAGTGTGTCGAAATCAGTTGCTTACAAAATAGGCCCCAATGGACCGACAAGGATAGACTGATATGTGACTGACTAACCATATGACAAGAGATAAGACGAAGACAAGGTAACAGTTAATACATGTAAAAATCAGACTTCATAAGTATTATAAAATAATAAAAATTATAAAGTAAGAAATAATCAAAATATCATCTGCAATTACACTGCTTAACAAAATTCTTCGTCAATATGCGAAGGAAGAAGGTCAATTTAAAGTTCTTATGTTATAATGGACAAAAATACTGACTGTTGTATTGACCAGCTTCATTAACTAATAGTGAGGATTGGAGAATATTTTTTTGTGAAATAAAGATCAGACTTTTAACGCCAGTTTGAGACTCACTAGTTCACACTGACTTTAGACTTACTATAAAAAATGACACCTGGCACCTTAGGACTGTTGTATTTTACTATTGTTTTGTTTATTGTTTTTTTCAGGGAATTTCAACCACTACCCCAACCGAATCCCTCATTACTGAAGGAGAGGACTAAAAGAATTAGAATCTTGTTGCCAGTAATTTTAGTTTAATATTTATATGTGAAGATCTTTTGTAAATAAATAAATAATTATTTTAT